ATGGATCTAGTACATGTGGATATGGGCTATTTAGATGCACCACAGAGGACGATAACTCTATTCGTCATGTTTTATTGATGCTTCAGTAAGTATGGTTGTGTTTTTAAGATTAAACATAATTATAATAGTTTGAAAGGATTCAAAGAGTAATAGAACGAATAAGAATAATTTATTAGGCAGAAAGATAAAAATTTCTGCAATATGAAAGGAAAGGATAATACTTTAGAATCATGTTTTATGATCATCTTAGTGATTGTGGATTTATATCGCAATTGATCATCGAAGAACATCTTAGTGCGATTATATGACTAAAAAGAGGAATAAGATATTGTTGGAAATAGGTTGATCAGGAGACGAGTTATACTTCATTCTTAATGAAGTTGTAGATTCATGCTCTAGTAACTATGAATCATATCTTGAAACTCTTTTCAAACTAAGAAGGTTGAAAACACCTCAAAATATGTGGAGTAAAAATGTTTTCTTACTCTAGCACATATAGAATTGGAGTTGTGATATTTTCATTAATCGAGAAACAAAAGATAAACTGAAACCTATTATATGAAGTGTTTTTTTGTCGAGAATCCAAACGAACTTTTGAATATATGTTTTAGCTCATCAAAGAACGTTCCTTGAGATAAAACTCATATGTCAAGAAGTCCGTGGGAATCATATTAATATTGAGAGTTTCAAGAGTCAAGTGATAATAAACCTTTTAGTTATCACTAGCACGAGACCTGAGGTTGATAACCTATCATTTTTGGTTGACACATTCTTATTTCTTTACGCTTCTAGTTGAGTTAGAAATGCTTATGAGTTCTATTTTCATTTAACTACAAAAGAAAAGCGTGTTGGTCAATGAAAGTGTATTGATCAACATGGGTGACTTGGTGACAACATGGAAGCACTGTTAGCCCTTGTGCTACCATAGGGTAATAAATTTAGAATAACAAAGTTCAATCCAGGAAGGAAAACCAAAACCTTTTCTTGTGATGGTAGATTGGAAATGATAGATTCACATGGATGAGAACGTATGCACCATAAAATCTAGGTGGCAAAGTTTTCGCTCTAATTATTGAGAATGATTGTGAGGAAATACTTTCGCTGGTAGATTTAAAGATCTAATAAAGATCAATATGGATATTGGTTATGTTAGTTGCATTCTCAAATTCACAATATGATTACAACATCCCTTTTCATATTTCGATTTGTGAGGAATGACAAGGAATTGTTTGAACTTTCAAGACATATATCTATAAGTTTTGAAAGGGTTTAAACACACACATGCTATCCAATAAAGGTGTATAAGCTTAAGAAGTATAGTTGGAGACTTATTTAAGCATCACGTAACAGAAATTTGTACTTAAGTAAGAAAGTCAAGAGTATTGATTTCTAGAAGTCCAGTTGATTTTTGGGTACATGTAAAAGCTAGTGGGAGCATAATTATTATGCTAGTATTGCATGTTGACAATAATGTTCGTAGCGAATTTTTTTTCAATTTGCAAATTGAAAATTTTGAGAATTGTTTCGCTATAGTAGACTTAAGGGAGAGGGCACTCATACTTCTTTTCAAATCTAAATGTTTAGATCGTCTAGTTTAACAGAACTTAGTCATAGACATATATGAATATGATGTTGAAATGGTTCAACATAGGAAATTCGATATATAGAAATATTATAGCAAGAAATTGAAAAAATATCAAATCCTTATGTGAGACATAATGAATCAGGTTCCATATGCTTCGGATATATGATCAATTAAATATGCTATAATATTCACTTATTCTAATTTTTCAAATGCTCAGAGCATTGTGAGGAAACTGATTAGAATTTTGTGTGACTAAAGTTGTTAAGCAATTATCAAGGAAATTCTAAGGTAATAACAAAGATTGGTTGCTTGTGAACAGTTAGAAGTATGATATTAATTTGGACAGACCATAGTGACCTGATTCTAGATTGAGATGATTCTTGATCATAATTAATGGTCATTTGGGAATATGGCAAATTTTCATAATGAGAGATGGTTAAAAAGTCTACATGTGAGTTAGAAAATTTAATGAAAGAGAAGTGTTCAAGTAGTGTACCTTGAATTTAAACCTTCATTACCATGGAATTGTTTATAGTAAATTGATGTGTTCAATTAGTAGTTTGAATTCAGTTTCATAAATTAGGAAATCGAGAAACAAAATCTTGGACTATGAGATTGATTCTGATCTATGTCTCATGTCCATACGATATCTTGTAGAACCAAGGAATATTTGATCTCTTATCTTAGTGCCAATGTATGATTAGATCAGATTTCAACAATGGCTTTGGAAAGCACTCTCTACTGTTTGGTTATACTTGTAATTGTAGTTATAGACTTATCCAAGTGGGAGACCGTTGGATTAAGGTGTCTAAGCTCATAACTAAATTGGTATAAACTTGCAAATAGAAACAAAGTCCTTTTTAGGTTACCCTCATAACCAGAAATAGCTAGAAATTATATTTGAAGAGAGAGAGAGAGAGAGAGAGAGAGAGAGAGAGAGAAATAATTTGTTAATATATTATGTGATTAATATATTAATTGGAAATAGATAATTGATCTGTTAATTTTTTATAATAAATTAATATGTGAAAATAGTTGAATAATTGATTTGTTAATTTATATAGTTAATAAATTAATAAAAAATCAATTAAGATTAATTAATTATTAATCAAAATTAATTGGAATTAATTAAAGGTCCAAAGGATGAATTGCATGTAATTATTCAATAGTTAAACAAAAGAAACAATTCTAGAACCCTCTATGGGATGGATGGTTTTGGAGGGGTTCCTAGGGTTTCTGGAAGTCTCCTAGATGTCTAAAAGGAAATGATTTAAATTAGGATTAAGTCTATTATTTAATCAATTCAAATCTTGTTTTGACTGCAAATTACCAAAACTATAAATAGGACCTCTTAGCTCATAATTTTCGTTCATGTCTCTACTTACATGCATAGGAATGAAATTTCTTTTTCTCTTCTCTTTTTCCTCTTCATTCTAGGGTTCTGGTACAAACAATTAGAGGCACTAAACTTTTGGTGATTGCTTTCCAAGGCTTTCAAGAATGAATTTTGTTTGGTTATTTACTATAATAATCAAAAGGTATGTAAACCCTAACTTTATGCTTATTTTCAATTATTATAAAGTTCCTTTAGGGTTCTTGATGTTCATAGTTTATTGTTATTAATAGTGAAAACATAGATCCAATTAGGTTGCATGTGAACTTAAGAGTTAAGTTATTTTCCACCTCATGCAAATATTTACAACCTACAAAACCCATCAGTAATAACCTTCTTTGCCTCTCTATTTACTTTTTACTTTATTTATTTTTATTTATTTTAGAGTTTTCTTGATTAAAATGAAAAAAAAGAAAGAAATTATACACCAATCCTTTAACAACCTGGCCAAACTTTAACCTACTTTCAATCCCGTCTCTCTCCCTCTTCCTTCATTATCGGAAATGTGACCAACGACCGTCACCACCTACTTTGCTGGAGATTTGTCCTTCCAAATCTTAAAACCCCTGTCACTGAAAACCTAAATCAGAGTATGTGGTTTTATCGAAGCTTTCTGAAGATGCTTCTGGAGACTGAGGACCCAAAGATCGACGACGATATGGTTTCTGATTACACATAGATTGTTGTCAGAGAAGGGGAATGACAAAGATGACATTGTAAATCAGATTGACGGTGCTAGGGTTGCATAGTATCGATGGTGACAAAACCCTAGTTATTCAGGTGACGGTGAATTTAGATCGATTAAGGTTTTCTGTAGGTGACGACGGCTTTTAGATCAGAGGTTGGTGGTGGTGGAGACGATGGGGGATGAAGTCGATAACCCTAATCGGAGCTGGATCTGGAATGGTGGTCATTAAAAACCCTAACGTCGTTATCTCCATCGATTTGGATTTTAGGTTTGTGATGCGAAGAGTGAAGTTTCATTGAGAATGGGAGAGGTTTGATGAGAAGGACAAAGGTCTGACAGGTTTCCTTAATCTATCTCTCTTATTCCCGACGTGTAAGCGCTTTCGTCGGAGCTAGTGGTCTAACCGGTTTTCTCCACTGTTGACGAACATATGCTAGAAGTGGGTGGTAGTTGGGTAGGAACATCTCATGTGTTAGACCGACAAGGGGTTGTGGTCCAGCGATGGTGATGGTCAACGAGAATGGTGGTCCGACGATGACAATGGTTCCGACGACAATGGTGGTTCGATAGAGAGAAGAGTAGGAAATTAGGTGAGTGAGTTAGTAGTAGGTTTGGATGGGATTGATTCTTTTTACATATATATTTAGAAAAATGGTAAATTAAATAAAAGATATAAAAAATAAAAATCCAAAAGATAAAATCATCACATCGTCACAGAAAACTAAATCAAACTAACACCAAAGAAAACTTTTGACCTTAATTTTGTTCGGACAAAAGTATGGATTTCAACTAACCCATCTGCTATTAGTGGTTTTGTTAATGTCATTTTTGTATTTTCTTTTTGTTAATGTCATTTTTGTATTTTCTTTGGTGGTATCGGGATACTATACTTGATAGTTGCTGTAAGTTTCCAAAAGTTTTCTCATGGACGCTGCAAGTTGCAAAATGGTTATTGCAACTTAAAAGTTCACTATCAAAAAATGATAATCTAATAATCGTCTTATCAAAGTTAAAAAACAGAACCCATATAATTATTTAACGTGACTTCAAGTTGCAATCACTTTAGCAACACATCCAAACACAACAATGTAATACACCTAAAAGAATCCATTAAATGAAAAATAGGGACTGTATTAAGTTTATAATTATATTGTCCATGATACAATTTTATCGTCGATCAAGTGTTAAAATTAAAATCTATGTCCCGGCCATTCTCGACTTCTAGGCCGGAAAAATGAAAAAAAGAATTAAAAAAAAAAAAAAGAAAGAAAGCCCTTCATCGCTTCATCGCTATTTTGTTTACAAACTTCTCGACAAATGTTTCACCTTTTAAATTAAACATCTGCACACCTTGTTGGAGCAAATCCGAGCCTAGATTTCTTCGTATCATACATGATATGAAAGTTCTGCTGCTGATAATTGCCAATAATCGATAAAGAAGATCGTGGTGTCCCCAAAACTGCCAAGCACACAATCTCTTCGGGTTCAAGTTTGATGAAATAATTGTCAACAGGGAAATTCCACACTGCGCCATCGTTGAACAGGATCCCAAAAGATGGCAAATCTTTTTTATAATCCGCAATCCCAGAAACGTTATAACAGGGTTCAAGGATTGGGAAATCGTTAACCAAAGGGTAGCCTTTAACTTTCTCCATGAATGCTTTCTTGATGATGTTGTAAGCAGGATCAGCAAAGTAACTAAGAGTAGTTCCGGAATCGATGATGGTTCCCCCAAATCCATCTGCCGTTAAATCCCATGTGTGTTCAGGTATATCCAGGGTTTCTCCGGCGACGATCACGGATTTGATGTGAACGTAGTAGAAAACGTCGACCGGAGCTTCTTTGCCGCCGATCAATGAAGTGAAATTTAATTCCGGGTGATTCAAAAGACCCTTGTCTTCTCCGAAAATCAACTTGCTGCTGACGCTGGAGTTGCTGTCTCGATCAACAAGACAATAGGAAAAGGAATGGCCGTATAAAGATTGGAGTTGAGAGGCGAAGGATAGTGGGCCTCGTCCGAGCCCTAGCAATCCAGCAGCACCATGAAATAGACCTCGGTTCCAATGGCCGCAGCCGAACATGACATTATTTACCTGGACCTCCTTGTGCTGTTGTTTATGCCCATCGACATTGGTGGTCAAGTTCACTGTGAAAGTCTCTGTGGCGAAATCGCCGGTGGTGTTGGAACTGTCGCCGTACCAGTAAAAATAAGGGCATGATTGAGATTCATCTTCAGCTTTGCAAGGTCTGGAAGGTTCCGGGGATGAAACAAGGCTGCACCGGCGATCATGGCAACTGATATTCCGGTAAGATGATGATTGTTGGGGATCGTAATGGGGTCCTGTTTGTTCGAAGCAATCGTGGCAGGGTGTACATTGGATCCAATTCAAATCGCTACCAGTATCGAGTATAAGGGAGTAGTGTTTAGGAGGCGTACCCAGAAAAACATCCATGAAATACTCTCCAGAACCGAGTGTTACCCCTGATTTCAGAGTACCCATAAGCTTTCCGGCGTAACTCTCCACCACCGCCGGCGCTTCTTCTACTGCAAGCTTCAGCTTTACGGCAGAACTTTCATCGTGCTTCTTCGGATTCATAACGGTGTTGCGAATCTTCTTCTCTAGGATCCTTTTGTGAAGCGTTTGGATCCTGTTGACATCACTTGCGGCCGAATGGAATAATGATTCTTTAGCGGGCATGGAAGTTTGACCCGGTGATCGGTGTTTCAGGTGGAGTTTGACCGATTCAAATTCATTCCTACCTGTTTCTCTTCCGTCTGATGTTTCTGTTTTCTCCGGTGAGGAGAAGCCGCAATCTGAAGAAGAAGAAGAAGAATCCGAGATTCCATTAAAGCTTGAATGATTAGGTATTTCGATTCCGGCGAGAAGTGAAGAAGCATTTGGATTTAGATTCTGAAGATGGGTGCGAGCATGATGAACTCCGAAAGTAGAACCCAGAAAGCAGAAGATCAGAAGAAACAGAGAGCACTTGAACACCATCGATGACAGTCGATTCTTGTAAACTGAACAAAACAAAAACAGAAGGAAAGCTTTTATATGTTGTGAATTTGATCAAACTGCTTTTTGATTCATTGGGCTTTTAGGGATTGATTTTGTGGAAATGGGGAATGAAGAACGCAGACTCAAAATCAAGGAGGGATTGGTGGGAACATCATTTTGACTCTCACAAAAAGAGTTGAAAAGGGAAAAAGGAGGTTGGGGGAGACCACAACCATTTAATAATCCCTCCATGAGTAAAAAGGGTTTCCTCACGCTTAGCTTATTTTAACATTTTATTCAAATTAACTTTACTCGATAGATTTTATTTGATTTTTTATTCTGAAAAAAAAAAAAAAAAAAGTAACATTATTAAATTTAAGTTTCCAACAGTTATGAGACGAGAGGTAATTTCGCCTACCCTGCTACCCATTATATGAGTGTTTACTGTTTATAATTTATAATTCAAGTGGATTGACTGATCTTTTTAATTTGTTTTTGAGTAGGTTGTGCGACTTCGGTTTTAAAAGAAACTTTTTGTGTAATTTGTATTGGTCTCCTCACTTTACCATTTTTTTTCTACTAAGAAGTTATATAATTGTTGGAAACTTAATCAAAATTTCAAATATGATAATTCCATTAACCCACACGTTTAGAAGATTATGTTTTAGTCCCCCAAATTACTTTTGGGTGTGGATTGATTAGAGCATGGTTGATAGTCTCTTAATAGTTAAGCCATTAAAGAGTGTTCGATTTGTTTAATTTTAACTTTTGAATTGATTAGAGTCATATGCACTATTCAAATGGAAAAATGAATCTAAATCAATCACCTAATGAGAATTTACACTGATTACTCGTCTTTATCTGAATAAAATTCTTCATCAACATCTTTCCACCATCAATGTCGTTGTCCTCCATCATCGTCATTGACGCCCTTAAACTCCACCGTCGTCGTCGTCACCACTACCATATTGTGTGTGTGTGTGTTAGGGTTGAACTAGAAAAACAAGAAAATAAATACCAAATAGAAAAAGAGAAAAAAAAAAAGATTGAGGCTAAGGTTTATCTAACTTTTCTATCATAACCGCTGTCACCTCCACGATCATCGCCGTTGTTTCTAAAACACAACTTTCTCCTAACTATTTTAAGATTAGGAGAGTAGGTTTGAAGATTAAATTTATCTGGTTCTTTGTTATTTGGAATATGTTTTGAAATCTATGAGTTTTGAGATGAAGATTAGGTTTATTTAATTCTTAAGTTTTGAAGATTAGGTTTATACGATTCTTGGATTTTGAGTTGGAATTGCATTTTTTTTTTTTTTTTTTGAGGGGGATATCCATGAATTTGATTGATTTGAATGTGTTTTGTAATTTTTAAAAAATTATAATTCTATACATAAATGATTTTTTATTTGAAAGTTAAAATGATATTAACATATCATTTGAGCAATCTCATATTGAAACCTATGTATCATTCATACAAGTCGTTGAGCACTCAATTGTACATTTGCTATCAAACAATCCTTTAATGATTTACCGAAATACAAATAAGTTAATCAGGATCACTGAAATAACTCAAATTCACCCTAAGAACATCATTTCAGCCAAATCATTTTTATTTTATAAATATATGTGTTTTGATTTTTTAAATCTTTATTATAAACAAGTAAAGATATGTCTTTTAAAATAAAAATATATTAATTCTGCATAAGGTTTACTTATAAATATTTTTTTAAATTACTAAACTATTTATAGTTACCACAATAATGGTTCGATTCAACAGCTTATTTATTTTATAAGATATGTTATTATTATATGAAGCAAGTTTAATCGTATTTGATAATAAGTATATATTGACGAAGCCAAAGGGTAATATTGGAATATGGTTTGAAGAGTCAATATGTTTGACCACGATATTTCTATATTCCATAGGACCAACAGTCCTTACACGGTTCCGTGGCCCAGCTTCTATATTTTGACTCGCCCATTGTCTAAGGGAACTGATATTTCCATTTGAAGTTTTTGCTATTTTCACTGAATTGACAACTATACCCTTAATTTTAATTTGTAAAAAACTTCAAAAACGGAAATCCTGCTTTTGTTTCCTAAAATTCACGACAAGAACTCCAAACAACACAGGATATACATCCGCTTCTTCCCCATTCGTTGCTGCATCTGCATCTGTATCTTCAGCCGACTTGACTGCTTCCTCTGACCACCAAATAAGAATTTTTTAATTTTTTTCTCAATCACCAAGGCAGTGGCGGACGCAGAAGGTTTTAGTAGGGGTGATGCTAATATTTTTTTTCCGAAAAAATCTAAATTAGTAGTGGTACCCGTATTTTAAGCTGGTGCACCTAATAGAAAAAACATAAAAAAACATAATTTTTTTTAACTACATACCGGAATCGGAGCAGTGACCCGAGATCCCGGGGCACCACTAGGGTCGCACCAAGGATGATTATTTGATAGTTGATACCAAACAGGGATTTAAAGATTTGGTTTTTCTTGCTATAGATATATTAGT